GTGTGCATTTAGGTAAACAATAGAAGAAGATAAAACAAGTCAAATTGATCATATTATTCGAGTTGTATAGATAAAAAAAATTAGGATTTCAGTTAGAAAATGAGAAACAATATTTTTCACAGAAGACGAGTCATATGGAAGAAGCTAAATGGTCATACTAGTCATACTAGTCGCACTTGAATGGTGTGACCAGTTTGACTAGTCTGATAAATTTGGTTAAACGGGTCAAATCAAATGCTCATATCAGTGAAGTGGTCACACCCTTCAACTGGTTATTCTAGTGAAATGGGCACACAGTTAGACTAATCAAACTGGTCAAGAAGTTAAGTGGTCATACTAATAATATTGGTCGACTTGAATTGTGTGATTAGTTTGACTAATCTGATATAAGTGGTCAAAAGGATCATATTAGTGAAATGGTCACATGATCACATTAGTCAAACTGGTTAAAAAGTCATGTGGTCATACTAGTTACACTGATCGCATTTGAAGGGCATAACCAGTTTGACGAGTTTGACTAGTGTGATAAAATTAGTCAAACTAGTCACACTAGTCAAACAAAACTAACAATGAGTGTTTAATTTATTTTTGTAGGTTCTATTTATATATGATTTAAAAAACATTTATCAGTCTCTCAGTGATACTCTTTTTAATAAATTATACTTAATCATGTTTACTCTACGAGTATAATTTTAATCATATGTATTTAATTGGGTCAAAACTTTATACACCAAATTGAACCTTCAACACTTAATTTAGATCACCTTTTTTCATAAATCATCGCACCGTCAAATTCGTCGCACCGTCAGACCTCTCAAACCGGACATACCATATTGAATTTTGCGATTTTATCACTTTCAAACTGTAAACATATTAATAATCACCCCATATAATAAGTATCTTAAGTTAAAAATAATCATATCTCTCTAATTTTAACGCATTTATCTTTTTACAATGCATGTGCTTTCAAAAAAACCATTTACACCATGTTTGAAAGTGACAATGCATATTTAACACATTTTATCTAAGTTACAAATAACACATTTCAAATTATAAACATTTTATCTTTTGTAATATATTGATACAAGGTAGAAGATATTTTTTCCACTTGAATTATAATTAACAAAAAATAATAACTTTCATAAGTAACAAATAATTGCAGCTCTATAAATTTAGCACCTTATTTTTTTTACAATGCATGTTTTTCCAAACAGTTCTACTACACTTTTTATAATACATTAGTCTAGGATATAATATATTATTTTTCCGCATGATTTACGAATAACAAAAATACGTTAAATACATCATACTAGCTCCTATATACCACATTGAACCTTAGAAATTTAATTTAGAACATCATTTGACCAGTTTGACTCGTCGCACCGTCAAACTCGTCACACCGTCAAACTCGTCGCACCCTCACGAATTTCGCAAATTTATCATTTTCACACTATGAACATGTTAATAAACACCTCGTATAACAACTTTCATAAATAACAAATAATCGTAACTCTCTAAATTTAGCACCTTATTTTTTTTACTATCCATGTTCTCCCAAATGAAACCCCAAAGTTCTAATACACTTTTTGTAACACATTGGCTTAGGGTAGAATATATTATTTTCTCCCATGATTTACGAATAACAAAAGCACGTTAAATACGTCATAATAGCCCTTATATACCACGTTGAACCTTAGAAATTTAATTTAGAACATCACTTGACCAGTTTGACTCGTCGCACCGTCAAACTCATCATACCGTCAACCTCGTCAAACTCGTCGCATCCTCACGAATTTCGCAAATTTATCATTTTCACACTATGAACATATTAACAAACACCCCGTATAACAACTTTCATAAATAACAAATAATCGCAACTCTCTAAATTTAGCACCTTATTTTTGTTTACTATCCATGTTCTCCCAAATGAAACCCCAAAGTTCTATTACACTTTTTGTAACACATTGGCTTAGGGTAGAATATATTATTTTCTCTCATGATTTAGAATAACAAAAACACGTTAAATACGTCATAATAGCCCCTATATACCACGTTGAACTTTAGACATTTAATTTAGAACATCATTTGACCAGTTTGACTCGTCGCACCGTCAAACTCGTCACA